CCACCGTGCCCAGCCTTTCTGATGTTTTAACACACAAAACTGCCCAGGCATGAGGGCTCACGCCTGTAATCCCAACACTTTGGGAGGCTGGAGTGGGCAGACCGCAAGGTCAGGAGTTCAAGACCATCCTGGCTAACACAGTGCAACTCCATCTCTACTAAAAAAAAAATATGGCTGGGTGCAGCGGCTCATACCTGTAATCCCAGCACTTTGGGAGGCCACGGCAGGCAGATGACCTGAGGTTGGGAGTTTGAGACAAGCCTGACCAACATGAAGAAACCCCATCTCTAATAAAAATACAAAATTAGCAGGCGTGGTGGTACATGCCTGTAATCCCAGCTACTCAGGAGGCTGAGGCAGGAGAATCGTTTGAACCCGGGAAGTAGAGGTTGCAGTGAACCAAGATTGCACCATTGCACTCCAGCCTGGGCAACAAGAGCGAAACTCCATCTTTAAAAAAAAATACAAAAAATTAGCTGGTTGTGATGGCACATGCCTGTAGCCCCAGCTACTAGGGAGGCTGAGGCAGGAGAATTGCTTAAACATGGGAGGCAGAGGCTGCAGTTTGTCGAAATGCGCCACTACACTCCACCCTGGGCAACAGAGCGAGACTCATCTAAAAAAAAAGAACAGTTCTGGGTGTTTGTAATATCATTGCCAGTCCCTGGAAAGCTCTTTCCAAAAGTCTTCACATGACTGATCCCTTATCCTCCTTCAGGTCTTGGCTCAAATGTCTCCTTTTCAAAGAGCTCCTTCCTGACCACTTTATGCAACATGGGTTCCTCTAGTTAGTCTCTCTTCATTCTGTTTCTTTCCTTCAGAGCGTTTATTATAATCTTGTGGCTGATGCTTGCCAGTTCACGTGCATCAGCAACAAGATAATTCATCTTGTTTGTTGTCTGTCTCCCACACAGAAAGCAAATCAGCCCGTCATCTGTCTTGTCCACCACTTTATCCCAGCACAGTGACTAACACATACCAGTAGTCAATCAATAAATATCTATAGGCCAGGCACAGTGGCTCACACCCGTAATCCCATACTTTGGGAAGCTGAGGCGGGTGGAACATCTGATGTCAGAAGCTCGAGACCAGCCTGGCCAACATGGTGAAACCCCATCTCTACTAAAACTACAAAAGTAAGTCAAGCGTGGTGACGCATGCCTGTTGTCCAGCTACTCAGGGGGCTAAGTCAGGAGAATCACTTAAACACGGAGGTGTCGCCACGGCACTCCAACCTGGATGACAGAGCAAGACTCTGACTCAAAAAAATTAATAAGGCCCAGCGCAGTGGTTCACGCCTGTAATCCCAGCTTTGGGAGGCAGAGGCAGGTGGATTATGAGGTCAGGAGTTCAAGACTAGCCTGGCCAATATGGTGAAACCCCATCTCTCCTAAAAGTTCAAAAATTAGCTGGGCATGGTGGCACGTTCCTATAATCCCAGCTATTGGGGAGGCTGAGGCAGGAGAACTGCTTGAATCAGGACCCAGGAAGCAGAGGTTGCAGTGAGCCGAGATGGCGCCACTGCACTCTAGCCTGGGCTACAGAGCAAGAGTCCACCTCAAAATAATAGTAATAATAATAAAAAGCTGGGCGCGGTGACTCACATCTGTAATCCCAGCACTTTGGGAGGCCAAGGTGGGCAGATCATGAAGTCAAGAGATCCAGACCATTCTGACTAACATGGTGAAACCCTGTCTCTACTAAAAATACAAAAATTACCTGGGCGTGGTGGCGTGCAGCTGTAGTCCCAGCTACTCAGGAGACTGAGGCAAGAGAATCGCTTGAACCCGGGAGGCAGAGGTTGCGGTGAGCTGAGATCACACCACTGCACTCCAGCCTGGGCAATAGAGCGAGAGTCCGTCTCAAAATAATAATAAATCTGTAAATAAATACTGCCACAAGAAATTCACTACTTTTTAATAAAAACACAGATTCCTAATGAAAGAAAAGGGAAACACCTCTCTAAATAACTTCAGAATTCTGGACAGAAAATGCTACATGTGGAAACTCATCTCGAAAAACAGTCCTGTTTGTGAACAGGAAACATTTGGACTACACTTTCTCCATCCCTATGAAGGACTTAAATGTGCAGCATTGACGAAGGGGCAGAGTTAGCCCTATCCTTACCATTTCTGCATATTCCACCTGCCCCTCCTCATGGTACAGCTCCGGGGGCAGGTTATAAATTCGCAAGATGTTATCAGCACTGTTGGTCAAGATGCAGGAACCGTCAGGGGCCCTAGAAGCAGGAGAGAGTTAGAAAGCTGGCCAGACCTAAGCTTTTTTTTTTTTTTTTGAGACGGAGTTTCGCTCTTGTTACCCAGGCTGGAGTACAATGGTGCGATCTCGGCTCATTGCAACCTCCGCTTCCTGGGTTCAGGCAATTCTCCTGCCTCAGCCTCCTGAGTAGCTGGGATTACAGGCACGCACCACCATGCCCAGCTAATTTTNGGCAATTCTCCTGCCTCAGCCTCCTGAGTAGCTGGGATTACAGGCACGCACCACCATGCCCAGCTAATTTTTTGTAGTTTTAGTAGAGATGGGGTTTCACTGTGTTGACCAGGATGGTCTTGATCTCTTGACCTCGTGATCCACCCGCCTCGGCCTCCCAAAGTGCTGGGATTACAGGCGTGAGCCACCGCGCCCGGCTCAGACCTAAGCTTTTCAAGTGTAGAGTTAGGGCTGCACCTACCTCTGGGGTAGGTAAGCCCCCTGAATCCTTGAGGGAAGCAGAAGACACAAAGACACAAAATGCTAGATAAAATTTAAGATCAGGGCCGGGCACGGTGGTTCACACCTCTAATCTCAGCACTTTGGGAGGCTTAGGCTGGCGGATCACCTGAGGTCAGGAGTTCGAGACCAGCCTAACATGGAGAAACGCCATCTCTACTAAAAATTACTCGGGCATGGTGGTACATGCCTGCAATCCCAGCTACTCGGGAGGCTGAGGCAGGAGAATCGCTTGAACCTGGGAGGCTGTGGTTGTGGTGAGCAGAGATCACATCATTGCACTCCAGCCTGGGCAACAAGAGTAAAACTCCGTTTCCAAAAAAAAATATTAGGCTGAGTGTAAGAAAGCTACGTGCCCCTTCTTCAGCTCTGGTGTATCCTTCTCCTAGATAACTGGAGTGTTTTACGGTGAAAATTCTGGGGGTGGTCAGATCCCTGCACCGTTATTATCCTTACCATTTACAGCCTTTCAAGAAGTTCTCAGATTGAGTGCTGAACTCTGACCAGGAACCACTGAAAAATCGAGGCAGCTGGGTGAAGCTGTAGTTCCAAGCGCTAAAAGGAAGATGGGGGACAAGAAACATGGGTCGTTTCTGCAAATGGGGCAGAGGCCTGGAGAAGTGGGTCTGAGGACCAGTGGACAGGTCGACCTCATCTCCCCGGACTCCACACTCAACTGCCATCACCACTTACGGGTCTCCCTCGTCCTCTGCAGCAGGTTCCCCAGACGCATCTTCCATGGCTTCCCCAGACTCCAACTCTGGCCCGTTCACTTCTTCTTCAAAAAGACTCCCGTTTGCTTCTTCTGCAGTAAGGCTTCCATTTTCAGAAAGTTCTTGCTCCTCGATTCGAGGACTCAATTCACTAGGAGGACCAAACTCTGTTTCCAGGGGAGTGGAGAGAGAAAATTGGTCCCCCTCCCCTGGCTCCTGGGGCACAGCTGAGCCAGCCACGGGATCTGGGGACAACCGGGGCGGATCGTCCCTTTCGGAAGGCGGTGGCATCAGTTCAGGGTCCGCATTTTTATCCATCGGGGAAGCGTGGGGAGAAGGATGGGCTGGAGCTGGGTCCTGATTTGAAGGACAGCGGTCCGGAGCTAACGGTTGCGTCTCCAAAGTCTTCATACTGCAGACGGAGCACAGCGGACATCAACCTCAGTCGGGATGGCCTCGAAGTTCTCAGGAATCCGACTCAGAACTTAAAAAACCCACCTGTGCTTCCTTCCTCTTCTGGGAGGAGGCAGAAGACTCCGAAGAGGAGAGGCGAACAGCAGACGCCAATTTTGAAAGCACGGCGTTCCTTGGCACCGCGGGTCGCTACGCGCTTCTCGCAGTCGCGGGATTTGGGCCCACCTTCCGATTGGGCCGTCGCATCACGGATCAGATTTCGCGGGCGACCCTCGGAACCCGCAGAGCCGGGACGTGAAAGGTTAGACAGTTTCCCGTTCCCATCAAGCCTTAGAGCTCCTCGTGGCTGCTGGGAGTTGTAGTCCGAACCCTTCTGTCTTGGCGAGAAGCGCCTGCGCTCCCCCTATCGGCTCCCGCGGTAATTTTTAAAGTACCTGCTCCACCCCGCCGTCTGCAGAGGGCGCTGCATGTATTGCATCTCTTTTGCATCTCATTCTCCAGGCTCTAGACCTGTCTCTCTACCTTCTTTCAAAAAATATTTATTATCGAGCTCTTACTTGCTACCCAGCACTGATATAGGCACTGGGAAATACAGCAATGAATAAGATGGGAGAAAAATCCTCATAAGTCTTACGTTTCCATAAGGCTTACGTCTCCATGTACTGAAAGCAATGAACAAATAAATCTTTTCAGAGTGATAAGGGCTGTGAAGGAGATTAAACAAGATGGTGTGATATAAAGTATCTGGGAGAAAACGTTAGCCTGAGATATTAAGGAAAGCCTTCTTAAAAAATGACGTTTTAGCTGATGAAAAGAAAGGATCCAGCTGAGAGCAAACGCAAAAGCTTTCTTCCTTCCACCCTTCATATTTGACACAGTGCAGGAATCCTCCAAAATGGTTTCCACTAATTTTGCCCTCACAGCTCTGGCTTGTAGAATTTTCCCACCCAAAACATTAGTATCTACAGCACCAGTTCGGCGAGAACCCTCTCTCTGCACCTTCCTCCCCAACTCTCCATTTCCTTTGCTTCTTCCGGCAGGCGGATTACTTGCCCTTACTTGTCATGGCGACTCTCCAGCTTTGTGCCAGGAGCCTCGCAAGGGTTGATGGGATTGGGATTTTCCCCTCCCATGTGCTCAGACTGGCGCTAAAAGTTTTGAGCTTCTCAAAAGTGTAGACCCACCATCCAGGGAGCAGGTAGCTTTTGAGCTCCAGGAACACTTGGCGTCTGGGCTCGGAACGTGCTTTCGACAGTGACACACTTCCCTGAGGACTGGGTAAGCTCCTAACTATTGAACCTGATGAGTCCTCTCTGAGTCACGGACTCTCTGCTCCGTGTATTTTCAGCTCTGGAAAATCGCTGGGGCTGGGGGTGGGGCGGTGGGGACTTAGCGAGTTTGGGGGTGAGTGGGATGGAAGCTTGGCTGGAGGGGTCAACATAGGAGTGCAGTGTTGGGAGACCTGGGTGTAGATGATGGGAATGTCAGGACCATCCGAACTCAAAGTTGAACGCCTAGGCAGAGGAGTGGGGCTTTGGGGAACCTTGAGCTGGACTAGAAGGTACTTCCTTGCATATCCACCCGGTATTGGGCGTAGGGAATCCCTGAAATAAAAGATGCACAAACCATTGAGGTCGGAGACTTTTGGATCTCCAAACATTGAGAAATCATGGCTGTATATTTTAGAGCCCATGGCATCCTAGTGAAATCTCGGGCTCCATTCCGAAATGATCTTTGGGGGTGATCGGGGAGCCCAAGCTGCTAAGGTCCCACAACTTCCGGACCTTTGTCCTTCCCAGAGCGATCTTTCCAGCCGGCCCCCGGCTCCGCTAGATGGAGAAAATCCAATTAAAGGCTGTCAGCCGTGGAAGTGAGAAGTGCTAAACGAGGGGTTCGTCCACCAGGCCAAGGAGGAAGGTCCCAATCTGAGAGGCCCAGCAGCCCTGTTATTGTTTGCCTCTACATTTACATTTCTGCCGCTTGTAGCAGCATTTCCGGTTTCTTGTGCCGGAGCAGCTCACTATTCACCAGATGAGAGGGGAGGAAAGAGAGAGAAAATGTCCTTTAGGCCGTTTCCTATTACTTGCAGAGAGAGGCTGCTATTCTCCGCCCCATTTTTTTTTTTTCTGGTTTACTTGGTCATGGCCTTTGCAAGGGCTGGTGTATTTGTTTTGATGCAAACTTCAATCCCTCCCCTTCTTTGAATGGTGTGCTCCACCCCGCGCGTCGCCTACAATTTGGGCGGGCGCTACCATGGCATGAGACAGGGAGGGCAGGAAATGTGCAGAAGGCAAACCCGGGGTATTTTCAATAGGTACGTCTCATCTTCCTGAAGAAAAAAAAAAAAAAGAATGGGTACAAGTGAGAATCAAATTTTGACACAGTACAATGATGGGTCATTTATAATTTCTCGGAAAAACAATCTACCTGTTATCTGGCTTTGGGCTAGGCCATTCCAGTTCCAGACGCAGGCTGAACGTCGTGAAGCGGAAGGGGCGGGCCTGCAGTCGTCCGTGTGGTCCTCCGTGCAGCCCTCCGGGCACAGCCGGTTCTTCCCGGTGGGAGGTGGAACTCGAATTCATTTCTTCCGCTTCTCCATCTCTTAGCACGTGGTTGTTTCATTCTGCAGTTTCTTCCCATGCACCTGCCACATACTGGGCATTTTGTGGCTTACTTACGTCATCTTTTTCCTAAATTGAGGTGGCATTTACACACCGCGCAGTGCACAGACCAAGTGCACAGGAAGATGAGTTTTGGCCCCTAACCACTGCGTGATGCCTGCCAAGTCACAGACACTTTTCATCGTCCCAGAAACGTTTCATCACATCTCTTCCCAGTTGATTTCCGACCCCACCTTTATTTTTATCTTCATAACCATTTTGCCTGTTGGAGTACTTCATATAAAATGGAATCAGGCCAGGTGCGGTGGCTCACACCTGCACTTTGGAAGACCAAGGCGGGCGGATCACTTGAGGATAGGCGTTCGAGACCAGCCTGGCCAACATGATGAAACCCCATCTCTACTAAAAAATACAAAAATTAGCTGGGGGTGGTGGCGGGTGCCTGTAATCCCAGCTATTCAGGAGGCTGAGGCAGGAGAATCGCTTGAACTCGGGAGGCGGAGTTTACAGTGACCCAAGATCGTGCCACTGCACTCCAGCAGCCTGGGGGACAAGAACGAAACTCCGTCTCAAAAAAAAAAAAAAAAAGGAATCATACATTATGTGCTCATATTTGTTGGGCTTCTTTCCTTCAACGTACTGTCTGTGACATTCTTTCATGTTGCATATGTCAGTATTTTGCTCCTTTTCATTTAGTATAGCCCATGGATTGTGTATCCGTTCTTTTGATGGCCTTTTGAGTTATTTCCCATTGGGGTTATTATAAAATAAAGCTGCTATAAACATTCTTGTACAGTTCTTTTTGTGATCATATGTTTTCATGTTTCTTGGAAAAATAAGAGGGGAATCGCGAAGTCGGAAGTAAAAAGTAGATGTATTTTGAACTTTATAAGAAGTTCTGAGTTTTCCAGAGTGGTTGTACCATTTCACGCTCCAACTAGCAAGATATGGTTATTATTATGGTTATTGCCACAGCCTTCCAGACATTGGGGATTGTCAGTCTTTCTAATGTGGTATATCCCTGTGGTTGTAATTTACAGTTCTCTGTTGACTAAGGATGTTCAGCATTTTTTCATGTTACTGTTAGCCATTCATATTTTGTTTGTAAAGTGGCTCTTCAAATCCTTTGCCTGTTATTTTGGTCTTTTGTCTGTTTTTATTGTTCAGTTGTGGGACTGCTTTATACATTCTGGATACAAGTCCTTTATCAGGTACATGTGTCTTGACTGTTTCCTTCTGATCTGCTGCTTGCCTATTTGTTTGCTTTACAGAGTTTACAGTATCTTTTTATGTTCAGTGTTTGCCTTGACCTGTTTAGGACATCTTTTTTTTAACCCCAGGGTAATGAAGGTATTATCTTATATTTTCTTTTAGGACCTTTTTTCTTTTTCCTTTTTTTTTTTTTTTTTTTTTT